TCTCCATGCCTCCGCTCTGTATAATACACTTGTATTCTGTTGTATCTGTTGTTCGTGCTGTCTCTACCATCGACAATAAAACATGTCTTCTGTCTGAATTAAAGACGCGATCCCAGACTATGTCATCTTCTTCAGGTGGTGGAAGGATGCGGGCCTTGTCTGTAACATCTAGAGAACAGAAGACTTTTTTTTTTACACAAAAAGTGTTTTTTTTTTTTAAGCCAAAACTGAGAAACCTCAAGAGAATGCATCTGGATCAGCACTTGGACAATCTGCACAGCCCCTGATTCCACTCAGACCTGCTGTGAGCTGCTGAGACATGGACAACACCAGCGTCCTCTTTTGCATGGACATCATTTGGAAAATTGGATTACACAATTTGGACATAATTTGGAACAATCTGGATTTCTGAATTTGGACATAATTTGGACTGAATTGGATTTCTGAATCTGGACACTAAAGCTGAAACGTGTGATTGAAAGACACGTCACAGAAGAATTCATGGCTCGACACAAATGCAGCCTGAAGAAATCAACAGAGAAGTGGGAGAGACTGTTTTCAAAGCAATATCTGGAACCATCGACTGATGAAGTTTGGTATTTTACTGAAGATTGTTGACAAGTTTTATGAAAGATCTGAACATGTTTTATGAGTTTTATGAGTTTTTGAAGTATTCCGAGTTCTGAGTTTTTTGAAGTACCGAGTGAAGTACCGAGTTTAAGTATTGAGTTATGATGTTATGTTGCTGTTTATCGATCCTGATGGTCACACGTGAATGTGTGACCAGAGGGGGGAATGTGAGATTTCATAACACTTTGAAGCAACTTTTGTTAAGGTTAAACTCATCATTCTATCAATGTGCAGAAGCCAGTACTTTTTCCTTGTTTTGTCTATCTGAAGGCCAAGCTACAAGCACACCGTGGAAGCTGCTGATTGGAGGTCTCCATGCTTCCGCTCTGTATAATACACTTGCATTCTGTTGTATCTGTTGTTCGTGCTGTCTCTACCATCGACAATAAAACATGTCTTCTGTCTGAATTAAAGACGCGATCCCAGACTTTGTCATCTTCTTCATGCTGATTGGAGGACTCCATTCCTCCGTGCTGTATATTATCACTTGCAGTCTGTAACATCCTTGTTCGTGTTCGTGCTGTCTTTATCATCGACAAAAAAACATGTCTTCTGTCTGAATTAAAGACACGATCCCAGACTTGGTCATCTTCTTCCATATCTATTCTCTATAGATATGATAACCGATTTCTCATTGCAGTTTGCAATGAGAAATCTGTTTTGACATTGGCAGTTAGCCAATGTCACATTGGGTTGTAGTAGGCTATAGCTATGTTTTAAGCTTGTCTACCATACGTTGCTGCCATTTGCACATTTGCATTGTCTCCAAAAGGGTGGATGTTACTGATGGACCCTTCCCCCTGAATGTGCTAATGAAGTTTCACCATGAGAAAGTCAATGAATGGACGGAGAGCAGGATCAACAATACAGGTCAAACAGAGGGATCACTGCAGGAATGCCCTTTGTGTCGCATTGGATCAGACACTAATTCAAGGTTTGATCCACTTAAGTGAATACAACTTATTTTGTGTTTTGAAGATCTTAAACTCTGTCAAGAATGCTAGTATAATGTAGAGATTTCATAACACTTTGAAGCAACTATTGTTAAAGTTCTAACTTCATTCTTACATATGCAGAAGCCTGTCCTTTTCCATTTGATGTTTTGTCTATCTGAAGGCCAAGCTACAAGCACACTGTGGCAGCTGCTGATTGGAGGACTTCATTCTCCCATGCTATATTATCACTAACAGTTTGTTACATCCTTTGTTTGTGTGCTTTGTTCGTGCTGTCTCTACCATTGACAATAAAACATGTCTTCTGTCTGAATTAAAGACACGATCCCAGACTTTGTCATCTTCTTAAATAAAATTAAGGAAATCTTTTCAATAATTTTAATGTAATTTGAAAGCAGGCAACTGACCACAACAACTTGCTGCAATAAAACTACCCACTGTAGATGCAATGTTTTGAATTTGCAGATCAAATCACATTTGGTCACTTTACACTTGCAGATAATATTCTTGTGTGTGAGAGCTGTATGGGACTCTCCAGTTATCACAGCACTTAGAAGCTGAGCTATTATAACGTATGTCTCTTGAGTTACAAAGTGAATTATGCACATGTACAACTCCAGCTATCATCCATACAACATCTAATTGGAGCTACACTCTACAGTGAGATATGGAAATCCACCACATATAGGCCACACTGGATTATAAACCACAGGTTTTCATGTTGTAATGTAGCAGATAGACAATTCTTCTAACGGAACACAACATGATTTAAGGATGGCGTGTTTTACACCTGATTGTGGGACCCAGTTTATAAGCTTTGCAGAGCTTTTTGGGGTGTCAATTTTTCACAAATCACAAAAATATACACAAAATGTAATGCATTGGTGATGCAATAAATAAACAGCTGATCCGTTATGTTCCATGCCGGAACTAATTCACCAGTCTATTTTGATAATAAACAAGTAAAAAGTATAAAGTATCTATCTATCCATCTATAGCTGCTAATACTTGATGACAACAACAACTCTACCACAATGAGAATACACATAAATTGCATACGCTAAATTGTTATATAAGCAGCAGGGTTCAACAAACTAGAAAAAAGTAGTGCCGTTAAGTCTCTACTTCTAGACCCTGGAGAATTATCCACCTGGTCCACAGACCATCTTTGATACCAGATGCACCAACGTTATTTGGCTGTCTATACAGGCTTCAACACAAATAATCAAACTACAGTACTTGCTGGACTTGACATGTGATGATCAAAGCACAATGGTAAATTAAGTCTATGTTGACAATTGTCTTGTGTATTTCCTAACACTTCCTCGTGTCCCTCTGCTATTCTCATGAACACACCAGGAAGCAGGAACGTGTCCTACATCACCAGCTCTGGAGATCAACAGCTGAAAGAGCTGTGTCCAAATCCCTTCCTTCACCCCATGAGGCTCTCAAACAAAAAAAGCTGTGATTTATAGTCAATGTTATGATTTTTTGGCCTTTGCCTTTACAATGTTTGCTCTCACTCTTGTTGTTTAAATGGATCTGAAGTCTAAAACCATATAAATATGGAATGTTACAACTTCTAAATGTCATCAGGCTACATTTAAGTTGTTCCATTTACCCCCTCCTATGGTGTCACTATTCCCAGTGCTTTCTCAGCTCACCCTCTGTGGTACAAATCAGAACAAGATCCTATTGACAGCAAGTGGCATCACTCTGCCACTTCACTGTGGAAACCTGACACCTGGGTCAGTGGTCCCCAAAACGAGCAACATCATCAGACACAGTTTGCACAAAATGTAAAGTAATTTCTTAGGTGAATAATAAATAAGAGAAGAATGAGATACTATATATATATATATAGATATTATATTGTATTTATTGTGTTTCTTTGATAAGGACTAATGTGTTTCATGAGCACATGCAAAAACTACAAAATGTTTCATACAACAAAACAGTAAAAGTTGTGAAATTCCGTTTTCCCCATGCTCAGCAAACTTATTTTCTCTCCATTCGATGCACAGTACTTACAAATGCAGAAATGTATTACACATGCTGCTATAATATCCAGTCAGTCACATTAGGCTAGTGATAAATCTTGGTCACATTTGTCTTTATAAACTTTGATGATAGTTTACACTGAAAATTATTTTTAGTAGCCTGAAACATATTGAGCAGTAAAATAGACGTATTAATGTCATCACAATCCTGATTTGAGAGTAATAAATGTTCTTTACAACATTATGCCACTTCTTGGAAATGCTAAATCACAAGATCACATGGAAATTTGTGATTGAACTATGTTAATGTAATCTAATTTAATCTATCTATGTTGCCCTAATGACCCAAACAATTGATTCAAAGGAAATGAGTCAACACTAGATTGAATAAAGACATGTTTATGCCATTGTGTGGAAGATTATACAAACATCTCACTAAGACTGAGAATCTTTTAGGTTTTTTTATGCCATACAAATATCCAACACAAAATAGGATTTTGTAATATGGGAGAGTTGGCGTGTACATTGAACTGTCAAAACACAGATCCTCAAATAGTTTCATTAGTATTTGTTATGTCATTGTCAATGGAGACTCTTTGTCATAAGTCATATGTACTTAAAATTGTATTCAAACAATCTGAAAACTTTCCATTGCAAAAGTCAAAGTAACAACAGTATATTGTTCACCACTGTATATTTCAAACTTTGATCTGTTCAATCATTTTGCTCACCTCCAGTCTTTAAGTAAGAAATATGTATTTATTAAAGAAGGTAACTTCTTGTGAGTTTTGTTTGTCCCAACAGAGTATTGTAAAAGTTTAAAGTGGACACATCAGATGAGAGCATCTCCATATAAAACATGTCATCTTTTGCGTACTTGTTAGAAAGAGCTCTATAAGTCATTAATTGACGCCTTGGGCTGAGAGCGAAAAGGCTTGAGAGAGGGCAGTCTCTTTTCCACTTTTATGTCTGAAAAAACTGCTCTAAAAATCTGACAGAGGCCAAAACATGTATGCATTTTAAAACCAGTGATAGAACCAAAGTGTATTAGAGTCAAAACTACTTACATATATTGTATTACATAGTCAATGTTTTTGTGATTTGGAAGTTGGGTACCCCAGCTTTATGAAATGCCATTCTTTCGATCTAGATTTGAGATTTCCCAGCAGATACAGAGGGGGCATTTCTCTTACTACAACTACATATCAAAGACGCTGATTGATTCGGCGTAAAGCGGTTTTCGATTCAGAGAGTACTACACGGGCTAATTACGCACTGTCAGCCTGTAGAACACAGCGTAAACGAGTGGACCAGGCTTGGCACCACTGCGCTATTATCGTCTGCATCATGCCCGATCTGTATCAGTTCGTGCCTCGCCCCTCTCCATCTCCGCACCTCTCCAGGCGCATACACTCACCACACGGAGCCGTACGCCCCGGATCCCACCGGCGTGAGGTTCTGGTAGCGCTCGGGAACCTCCCACACCGTCTTGTTCAGCTCCTGGCGATAAAACCCCGGCCTGGCGGACATGTCCACTGAAAATATCAAACTAAGGAGGCTCAAATAGAACGAGCGTGCGGGCAAAAGCAGGGTTTGATTGGAGAGGAGAGGGCAGATGAGCCCGGGGGATGCGCACCGCCGCTACTGCTGCACACACGCTACATGCGACTGGCTGGCTCCCCCTCTCCTCTACACGCCTGTATTCACCGGGAAATGAAGTTTATGGGTTAGTTGTCCAGAAATCATAGAGGTATATTCTTAACCAGGCAAATATTTGGTGGCATTTAATTGTGTATTGAGAATAGTAAATAAAGGAGAGCAATAAAACAGCAAAACGAAATCGAACATATTTTATACCCTATTGGTCAAAGATGCGTAAAGTGTATTGCTGTAACGCCATCTAGTGTTTAACTTTTGTAAGTGAAAACCAAAACCCGTCCTGCCTCGCACAGCAGCACCGATATTATTATAGATCCATGAGCAGAACCAGCAGCAGCACGTGACCCCTCATATCTCTGCTGTGATTGGCTGCCTTCTAAAATATAGCGAGGCGCCAAACTCTGCGAGTGACAGTACTGTTTACTTTCCTAAGCACTTTCTTAAAAGCGATAAGTGAAGCCATGTAGCCACTGTCAAGAAACGCGTTATTTGTGATTAGTCACTTTTTACACGTGGTAAACAAGTGAGTAATCAGAGAAAAGTTGTGGATCTATCAACCATTCAACCCATTTACGTATGTTCGACAGATATAATTTACATACACTTGTTGCCAGGTGCGCGTTGCTAAGGTCATCGGTTGCTAGGGTAAGTGCATCTTATATGGAAAAAAGTGCATCTTTTGAATCAGTGCATTTGGCTCCGACACAAACGCATTTTGTTGAACTTCACACGACGATTTCTTCCACCAGAACACATCAGTGCTGACCATTGACTCTCAGACCGCTGCTGACCTCCTGCTGACCACCTGCTGACCCCCTCTGTCCGGATTGTGAGACTGTTGACCTGGCCCGGACTGGCCATCGGGAGCATCGGGAGATCTCCCGGTGGCCTGCGTGTCAAAGTGGCCTGGGCCTGCCCTATCATCACGGTCTTTTTTTTTTTTTTTCTTTTAATTTAATTTCATCCTCACGGTCTTTGCAAACTCCTACCCTGCCTGGTGGCCTGGTCCAATGAGCAATGCCCAGGCCAAAGGCAGTGTTGTGCGTGAACGAGTTCAAAAGAACGCGTTCATTGAACACGCTCATTTTTTCGTGAACGTTGAACTGAACGCAACACATTTTTTAATAAAGAACTTGAACGTGAATTAGTTCATATTATGTGTCATGAACGGCAGACAATTTGTTTTCCATTTAAAACTGAGTGAAATCTGTTTTCTCTTTTGAAACGCAACGAGAGAAAGTTCCTCCCTCCTGTATTCTCCGCACTGTTTCCGCCGAAAACTAAAAATTCCTACGGTTTCCACCGTCTGTGAACGCACCCCGACTCAGTGTACTTGCGGTGCGGCGCTATATGCTAGTGCTATTCATTGGTTGTTGGACTCACATGTGCCGTGATGAAAACACAGGGGTAAGTCAGTGACACAGGGCCGTTTACATTTGACATAAAGTATAGACACACGTTCTGCAGCGCATTACAGTTTGTACTTATGAGCAGAGATGGGACAACTCAGTTCCCATTGAAACCCATGTAAATCTCGTCTGCATTGGACGAGATATAGTTCAGAATCAAAATTGAGAACTTCGAACGTGAACTGTTCACTTTGAGCATGTATGAACTGAACTTGAACTAGTTCAGAAAAGCTGTGAACTGGCACAACACTGGCCAAAGCTTTACTGTCATTGGGCCAGAGCAAAATTAAACAAATGTGACGTCACACGTCGGCTACACAGCCAGGCAGCCTAGCAGTGCACCCAGTGTAGCTTCCCCAGCCTAGCAGTGCACCCAGTGTAGCTTCCCCAGCCTAGCAGTGCACCCAGTGTAGCTTCCCCGGTTGAAATGAGTGGTCTCTCCAACTGATGGTTCATACACGTTTTTATTTTTCCTTTTATATGAGCTGTAACGATGTGATTTTACCTTACTACTTTTTTAACAATAATTGATTAGCTTGTTATAGTTATACACTAATGAACACTTAGTTCATTGTGTGTGTGTGTGTGTGTCTTTATTCTCACTAAACTCCATAAACGTTACGTTGCTAAGCAACGTACAACAATCCTTAAACGTCCGAGATTATATAAACCGTCAATATAAAAAAAAAATAAAGAAAACAAAAGTTTTGACAGTCAATCTTAAAACTATTAAAAGAACATCAAAATACAATGACAAAAACCCAAATTTAGAACCTTGTTTGGCCTGAATGGATGAAAAGCTCCCGGCCTGAAATGTTGTCCCACTCCGGCCCTGCTGTTGACCGCAAAACGTGAGCTTTTCCACTTTCCCTATACAGTCCTATGGGTTTGGCCCGTGTTACTCAAAATCAGTGACTTGGATCAAAGTGAAAGTAGGTTTACTTGAGTTTAGACACATTAGCATTAGTGCTGTTTTGCTGTCCGCTCTTGCAGGTGAATAATAAAGAATCAATTATGATAATCGACCAAAAGTGCTAAAGTACTTGAAACCACAGCCCTGCAGCTGGAACAATCCGTTACAACTGCACACTCATTTAAAGCTGGGATACCTAACTTTCAAATCACAAAATATGGATCTAGGTAATACGTATCTAACTAGTTCCTGGCTCTAAATCAGTTTGCTTCACTACATTTCACATTCATTTATTCCTGGCCTCTGTCACATCTTTAGATCAGCTTTATCAGACAGAAAGGTGAAAAAGATACGACCACCCTCACTCAGCCAATCAGCTCTCAGCCCTGAGAGTCAAATAGTGACTAATAAGGCTATATGAACCTTCTTCTGAGCGAACTTTCTATTGGGAAAACATAATGTGTTAGTTATGAAACAAACAAAAGTATAGGTACCCCAGCTTTAAAGTAACTATTTACACACAAGATGAGTCAGAGGCCAAACAATTAGACATCAGAACTATTGATATAATTTAACTGTTTTGAGAGCGAGGACCACGTTATATGGACATACATATAGATTAATTTAATGTGCTTTGAAAGGTAGGTACCCCAACTTTAAATTATGAGTAAATATATTGTCAGAAAATAATGACATTAATGTTAGGTTGAAGAAGTGTACGTAGTGGCCTTCTCTGTTGTGTGAGCTGTTTGCAGTGATGTTTGACATGTTCTGTTCCTCCACAGCTCCTTGTGCTCCTTCTCCATCAGACGTTGTGCATAGGACTCTGCTTTAAGCTAAGTCCTCACACGCGCTCACAATGCCTGGCTCCTCCTTCAGCTTTCCTCTGCCCGGGAGGATCTCTCACACCTCCTCTTCTTCTCTCCCCCTTCGCCCTCCTCCTCCTCCTCGCTCTGCACCTCCTTTTCCTCGCTTGGTTCCTGTTTCTCGGCTCCTCTCTTGTCCACCTCCTTCTGCTTCCTTTACTCCTCAGGCTCCTAGGCGTCTTCAGCTTCCTGAGTCTTGGTTCACTCCTCCGTGCATCTGGAGTGCTCCTTGGCTCACTCTTCTTTCTGCTCCCACGCCCTCCTCTTCCCCTCCTCCTCCTGCTTCCTCTGCTCCTCCTAAGCTCTCCTCTGCCTCTCTTCCTCCTCCTTCTGCTCTCTCCGCTCCTCCTAAGCTCTCCTCTGCCCCTCCTCCTCCCGGACGTCTCCAGCTCACCCCTCTTACTGAGTCTTGGTTTTCTCCTCTGTGCGTTCGGAAAGTTCCCCGGCGCAAACCTCCTTCTAAGCCTGCTCCTCCTGCTAAGACTCCTCAGCTCTCTAAAGCTAACCCTGTCCCTATTGCCCCGCAGTCGCAGCCCACCCCGGTCATCCCTGGACCTACTTTGGACCGGGCGGTGTCTCAGAAGGCCCATCCGCACAAGCGCAAAAGGTCACGTGAGCCAGAGGCCAAACATCCACCCAAAAAACACAGGTCTTCTTCCCGTTGTTAAGAACTGATGCGCTCTCTGCTTTGTTTCTTTGAAGGAGCAGAGAGGAGCTGGGATCCACAAGACCGTGTCCCGGTGATGGGTGACGTATCACGATGTAAATTTGTACATAGTTGGATCCCAGTTTGATCCCTTTTAAAAAACACAAAAAAAAACAAAAAAAACGTATGATTGTTTTTGTTATATTTTTCTGGATCCTTGTTTGATCCCTTTTTACAAAAACAAGTTTGTTACCCTTTTGCGGGATCCCTGTTTGATCCCTTAAAAATGTATACATATTAGTGCTGTCAAACGATTCAAATATTTAATCACAATTCATTGCAATTTGTCGCATGGTCTCAATGTCCCTTGATTTGGTTAGAAAAGGGATCGGGATTGTCTAAAATAGGCTACTCAAATATGCTTTTTTTGTTATTACACTGTCTAGAACTATCTAACATAGTAGAAATGACTTGAATTGTCTAGTAAAGGCAAGTCTAATTAAAGTCAGTAAGGTGGTTTTTAACAGTGTATGTGACTATCACGCGCAGTGGAGATGACTCTAGCTTCAATGTTTGGGCTGTGACCTGGAGATAGTTGTGCTTCCTGATGGAACTCCACTAATCAGCAGTGAGCGCGACTGCTTTTGTTTTGCACCTGCTTTACCTTATTTCCCCTACACAGCACAAGCATCTTTTGAAGCAGAGCCACAAAATACATCCCACATGTATTTCTGCCGCACAGTGACTCAGCTTTTAGTCATAATACACACATGCGCAGTAAAAATATTATGTCGTTAAATTGGGTTTGCGTTAGCGCCATTATTAATGCGTTTAACTGACAGCACTAATATATATATATATATATATATATATATGTAGGTTATGTTCGTTACTGTTATAAGTGTTGTGTTCTACATATTTTGATCCCGTTGGATCCCTTTAAAAAAAACCACAAAAGCCAAAAAAATATACGTTGTGTTTGCTGTTATTATTGTTGTGTTGTAAATTGTTGGATCCATGCTTGATCCCTAGAAAACATTAAATAGATAGGTTATGTTTGTTACTGTTATATTATTGTTGTGTTGTAAGTATGGATCAAAGTGTTTGTGCATAGCTTTGATTCCCAGGTTTGCTCTTTGGGATTAAAAAGAGGAACAAGGACCCAACTGGTGAGTATAGGTTATTTATATAGTTATTGTCACATACTTACACTGCTTTCTCTATTTTAGATAAGACAAATGAAAGAAGTTAAACATTGAAAATTGCCCAATCAATAAATATTAAGTTCAGGTATATCATACAGTTATGTCTGTACATGTGATGAAGTCTGGTAAATTTATATGTCTGTTTTTTATGTCCAGGTAAAACAGATGAGTTCAGATAGTGGAGAGAGTACAGCACACATGTGTATCTGCACATGCAATGGAGAGCTGTGAGTTCATGTGTCTTTGTTTCAAGAGAGTCTGAGCGCACGTAACAGGGGCTGAACAGGGAGGTCTGCAGCCAGATGCCTCTTCTTTGTTTTGGCCAGTGAGGTGGAGTTCAGACAGTGGTGAGACAGAGTGGAGGAGGAGGGTTATCACATGTTCATATGGAATACAGGTAAATCATATAAACATTTCATATGTCCCTTCTCCAACTTCAATGCATTGTTGTCTAATTCAGGACAGACGGCAGTAACCAGGTGTCAAAAAGCATATACCAGTTCAGATGCCACACATCTGACAGATGGCAGAGCTGATAATAATGCCAGAGGGAAAACCAGATGTTAAAAGAAATGAAAACTTCTGCCAATGAGCAGTTGTGAGACTGACAGAAGTGACCCGAGCATTTAAGACTGTGGAGAGACGGAGTGGAGGACCATGTGTTTGTATCAATACAGTCTTATTTAATAGGACACGACAAATGCCAGAGAAAGTCCCAGAAAAATGCGCGATGCCAGACCTAGTGTTAAAAAACATTCTAGACAAGATGCCAGTAAAACAGATGAGTTCAGACAGTGGAGAGACAGAGTGGAGGAGGAGGGTTATACCAATGTGTTCCAAACTTAAACAGGTAAAGTATCGTATGAACCTTTTGTGTGTCCCTTGAAGTGTGTGCCACTTCATTGTGTTGTCGTTTGATTTACAGGACACAGCAGTGACCAGAACTGTGAGACAGAAAAGTTGAGATGCCACAAAATGCCAGTGCAGATGCCCAAATGCTGCCAGTTGTTGGAAATTGCTAAAGATGCCCCAGATGAGATGTAGCTCTAGCAGCTGCTGATGTTACAGAATGATCCCGTCCTTCCTGTATCCCAGCGTGTTAGCTACTAAGTTATAATATATATATATAAGTTACCTTATATTACTTTTGTTGTTATTGTTGTTAAGACATAATTTACTCCCTTTAATACATGGTGAAAGTACAGCACACATGTGTATCTGCACATGCAATGGAGAGCTGTGAGTTCATGTGTCTTTGTTTTGGCCAGTGAGGTGGAGTTCAGACAGTGGAGAGACAGAGTGGAGGAGGAGGGTTATCACATGTCCACATGGAATACAGGTAAATCATATAAACATTTCATGTGTCCTTCCTCCAACTTCAATGCATTGTTGTCTAATTCAGGACCGACGGCAGTAACAGGTGTCAAAAAGCATATACCAGTTCAGATGCCACACATCTGACAGACGACAGAGCTGATAATAATGCCAGAGGGAAAACCAGATGTTAAAATAAATGAAAACTTCTGCTAATGAGCAGCTGTGAGACTGACAGAAGTGACCCGAGCATTTTAGACTGTGGAGAGACAGAGTGGAGGCAATGTGTTTGTATCAATACAGTCTTATTTAATAGGACACGACAAATGCCAGAGAAAGTCCCAGAAAAATGCGCGATGCCAGACCTAGTGTTAAAAAACATTCTAGACAAGATGCCAGTAAAACAGATGAGTTCAGACAGTGGAGAGACAGAGTGGAGGAGGAGGGTTATACCAATGTGTTCCAAACTTAAACAGGTAAAGTATCGTATGAACCTTTTGTGTGTCCCTTGAAGTGTGTGCCACTTCATTGTGTTGTCGTTTGATTTACAGGACACAGCAGTGACCAGAACTGTGAGACAGAAAAGTTGAGATGCCACAAAATGCCAGTGCAGATGCCCAAATGCTGCCAGTTGTTGGAAATTGCTAAAGATGCTCCAGATGAGATGTAGCTCTAGCAGCTGCTGATGTTACAAAATGATCCCGTCCTTCCTGTATCCCAGCGTGTTAGCTACTAAGTTATAATATATATATATATATAAGTTACCTTATATTACTTTTGTTGTTATTGTGGTTAAGACATAATTTACTCCCTTTAATACATGGTGAAAGTACAGCACACATGTGTATCTATCTGCACATGCAATGGAGAGCTGTGAGTTCATGTGTCTTTGTTTCAAGAGAGTCTGAGCACACGTAACAGGGGCTGAACAGGGAGGTCTGCAGCCAGATGCCTCTCCTTTGTTTTGGCCAGTGAGGTGGAGTTCAGACAGTGGTGAGACAGAGTGGAGGAGGAGGGTTATCACATGTTCATATGGAATACAGGTAAATCATATAAACATTTCATATGTCCCTTCTCCAACTTCAATGCATTGTTGTCTAATTCAGGACAGACGGCAGTAACCAGGTGTCAAAAAGCATATACCAGTTCAGATGCCACGTAAAAGTGTGGCTGAGGGACACACAAACATGTGATCATGTTTAGTTAATGATGATAGTTACAAAAGGGGATGCAATTATCAGTGTCATACGGGCTGTGCAATGGGAGTCTGTTGGGCATGGGTTATACAATGGGGGTTAGTGTAATGCGGGTCAGTGCACTATAGAATGGTGCAATATGGGTCAGTGCAATATTGGGTCTGTCAGGTTATGTGCAATATTGGGGTTTGTGCAATACAGTCGATGCTTTCCCGTTACTGTTTTTCTATATTGTCCTTTGTTGTCCACTCTTTTTATTGTTTGTTCTAACAAGTGATCACTGTACTCGTCCTTGTCTCTCTGTACATAGTCTGTATATAGTGTCTCTGTATGTTTTTACTAACCTATGCTTAACACCAACCTGCCAGGGGGTCTGCAGATGGAAATTAGCCTAAGGCTATAATCTGGCATATTTACATTTGTGAAAATGTTCATTAATATGTATTGTCCCTCCTTTTCAAATAAATAAATAAAAAAAAAAAAATAAAGAAAATGCCAGTACAGATGCCCAAATGCTGCCAGTTGTTGGAAATTGCTAAAGATCCCCCAGTACAGCACACATGTGTATCTGCACATGCAATGGAGAGCTGTGAGTTCATGTGTCTTTGTTTTGGCCAGTGAGGTGGAGTTCAGACAGTGGAGAGACAGAGTCGAGGAGGAGGGTTATCACATGTCCACATGGAATACAGGTAAATCATATAAACATTTCATGTGTCCTTCCTCCAACTTCAATGCATTGTTGTCTAATTCAGGACCGACGGCAGTAACAGGTGTCAAAAACATACCAGTTCAGATGCCACACATCTGACAGACGACAGAGCTGATAATAATGCCAGAGGGAAAACCAGATGTAAAAAGAAATGAAAACGTCTGCCAATGAGAAGCTGTGAGACTGAAAGAAGTGACCCGAGCATTTAAGACTGTGGAGAGACGGAGTGGAGGACCATGTGTTTGTATCAAATACAGGTAAATCATCACATGGGCAGTTTTGTTTGTCTCTCATCCTCTTTATTACATTTTTGTCTTATTCATAGGACACGACTAATGAATGCCAGAGAAAGTCCCAGAAAAATGCCAGATGCCAGACCTAGTGTTTAAAAGATGCTAGACCAGATGCCAGTAAAAAAGTCAGATACCAGACCAGATGCCCCAAATGCCAGAATGAAGACCACATAACAGTTGCCTGACCTGATGGCTGACTAGATGCCACTAAAAGACCAGACGGGTGACAAGATGTTACAAGAAATGACAAATACCAGATGCCACAAACCAGCTGTGCGACGAATGGAAGTTACCAGAGCAGTGTGAGGCAGTGGACAGACGGAGTGGAGGAGGAGGGTTCAACCCATGTGTCAAATACAGGTAAATCATCATAGCTTTGTGCGGCTAACATCCTCTAATTGCATTTTTGTCTAATTCATAGGTCACAACAGATAGATAGATAGATAGATACTTTTTTGATCCCTGTAGGAGAAATTCAGGTGTCCAGTAGCAGCAAAAGTACATCCATCCACACAAATAAAACAAATAAATTGATTATTCGAAAAGCTAACAATAGTGATAGGTCACCGCAGCAGAGGTGAAGTAGCCGGTTGGTTTGGACCATTTTCTCTGCTCTATGCTGAATGCTTCATTAGCATTTAAAAAAAGTTAGCATTCCTCCAGTGGATCCTCGGCTGATCCACTTGGTTCGGAGTATGAATCCTCTCCGCTCCGGTCTGGACAAGCGCAAAACCACAAACACTGCACTGCAGCAACACCCCAGGTAGAAAAAAGTAAGAAAAATAACATTTGTTAAACACAAGACTACAACTGTTTCAGAGTTACTTAGGACTTGCAGCCGTTTCTAGCGCCTTCAAACGTAAAACAGAAGCTGTACCAGTAGAGAGAGCATGTTGTATCGTCGTGGACTGGGCCGAGCTAACGTCTCCATGAGCATAGTTCACCTGCCTAATTGGCGTCCAGTTTTGTTATATGTTGTTCGTTTTAATTGGCTATGTCAATTCAAGAGCTAGTTGAATAATGGTCCTCATTTTAACATGTTTATGAGCTGTTATTTAATGTGTATAGAGCAGTCATGGGCAAACTTTTCCTCCTGAGGGCCACATTGGAAATTAGGTCTGGATCCCGACAGCCGTCTGATATTTCAATGTTTTTCTCAGGCTTCATTTTAAAACATAAATGTATGGTTTATAAACTGTATATGAATAAAATAGCTCTGCACACAGCACTGGGAGGGATTGCATAATGTTGAAACTGAAATTACCCCACTCTGGGATGAATAAATGTTCTTAATTGTAATCTCTCTTGATCTTAATCTTAATCTATATGAATTGAGGAGGGCTCATGGGCCTCATTGAAACATCCAAAGGCCCTCGGACCGGGGTTTGCCCACCACTGGTATACTGTAGAGGCTTGCTGGTCGACCTTCCAGGTATGGGCCTATTAGGTGTGTCCAGTGATTGAATCAGTGCTTGGTCTGTCATTACCGGGACGGGAATGCATTTTTGAAGGGGTACAGAACAACTATCCTCAAG